GGAGAACAAGAGACGTCTCCACTGGTGGGGGCCTCAGGCCTGGGTGAGGGAACCGTAGGGAGGGGAGTTGGGGGGACGATGCTATTGTTTGGGGTTCAAGCTCAGCAGAGATTTGAGCAGAGTTCTTATTTGGCGGGGGGTGGGGTGGTAGGGTGGTTCTGTGGGGTTTCCCTCTGGGCCCCGGGCCTCTCGATGCTGGCTGTAGCTCAGTCCCAGCCCAGCAGCCCTGCCCGCCTACTCGCAGTCCTCTGCCAGCTCCTTCCGCAGCACCTTCCACTGGAGGAGCAGGGCAGGGTCCTTCGGGTTCCGCATGGACTTCAGGATGTCCAGGTTGGCCTTCTGCCCAGCAGGAGAGAGACGGACACAGGGATTGGGTGTCCGCATGGGCCTCACTTGGGTTACAGGGCTGATTGGCCCACAAAGATGTCAGGCTGGACTTGGGGGCCCCTGGGGGATAGCCTGGTGATATCGGTCCGAGGTGTCCCATGCCCTTGCTCACCCTTGCTGCTACCCCACAGGAGAAATGGAGGCAGGAAGGAGGCAGGAGGGGGTGGGACTGGGGAGAAGCACAGAAGACTGACCCTGAGCCCAGTTCCCTCCAGCCAAGCCTGTGGGTTCACAAAGGTCACCTCTGGTGAATCCAGGGTGCGCTGTTAGGCACTGGTGAGCCACGTAACCATCCTCTAGTTCTTTAACACTTCCTCCCTCAACCTTCTGGTTTTTATTTGTTTTACTTCATCAATCATGGTAGACTTGTGTACGTTCATTTGTATATTTAAGAGTCAAGATGGATAACCCTTCAGAAACAGTAACAGGAGTAATGGGCCCCTGAGGACATGGGAAAGAGTGGGGGAGAAGGGAAGCTGATAGCATTGATGACTTCTAACCCCATTTGATGGGATCGAACGACAGAATTGTATGTGAATGGGTATATTGGATTGTGTAAGATATGGGGGGAGGGAGAAAAAAACTATTATAGACAGAAAAAAAAGGAATAAGGGTGCCTGGGGTGTGGTGGGGGAGGGAGGGGATATCAAGGAGTTCAAGAAGAAAGAAATGTTCTGAAACTGACCGTGGTAGCCACTGTACCACACTGCTGGCTGTGACTGAGCTGTGGCATGGATGATGTCTGTAAGAGCGGCCAAGAAAATGATTTACAAAATAAGCCAGTGACCGCTGAGACAGGAGGAATCACATCTCTCCTCTGCCTGACACCCATTCGGTAGCTCCCCTGAGACCTCTGCTTCTTGATGGGGACCTAAGACCCCTTGTGAGAGGGTCTCCCCCGGCTTCACTGACCTTACCCCAGTGTTCCCTCGACACCCCGCCAAACTTAGAACACGGACACATGCCCCCGCCATGGTCCCCATGATGGCCCTACAGAGTCTTCAAGACCCTCCCGTGCCTTCTCATGCAAGGCCGTCTCCTCCGACTGTCCTTTTAACACGTGCTTTGTTTCAGCCTGCTGCCGTTGGCACATCTCGGTTGACGTGGCACGCGTGTTTGAGCTGTATGGCTGGGTCCCCAAGGCGCCCCCCATCCCTCCCCCCCTTCTCTGGACCCTTCCCTCCCTCCCTCCCCTGCCACACTCACCAGACGGTCTCTCGTGATGTGGAGGAGATTGAGGCAGTTCAGTCGGAAGCTGACGTCCTCCCAGTAGGACGTCAAGGCCACCACAGGTTTATTGTTGTACCAGGGCACGTAATGGTAGATGCTCCCTGAGACAAAGGATGGGAGAGGGGAGTCGCGTGTTGAGTCACACACACACACACACACACACACACACACACACACTCTGCTAGATATATGCCAATCTGACTGAGCCACGGTTCTCAGTAGATTGGCAATTATGTAACTGGACAGTTATATAATGACTGTCAGCTCTCCTCCAAGCTGTGACCTGCCAATTCATTGTAAAGGGGTCACTATGGGATGCAACACCCTGACTCAGAGGACAGCTCTGATCCAATGTAAAGGGAGTGTCCCTGGGGTGCAGGGACCTGCATCCCCTTCTCTCGTACAAGAGACGAAAGGAGCGAGACTTGAGCTGAGAGAGGGGCACCTGACAACCACCTAGAAGGAAGAGCTGAGAAAGCATGTCCTTTGGATCCAGGGTCCCTGCGCTGAGAACCTCCTAGACCCAGGGGAAGACTGATGCCCAGGCCTGCGGAGATCTCCAAGGAGCCCCCGGCCCTCAGATCTTGAAGGGAAACAAGGACCTTCCCCGAGAGCTAACAGAGAGAGGCGGCCTTCCCTTAGGGCTGGCACTCTGACTTGGACTTCTAGCCTCCTAAACTGTGAGGGAATACACTTCTGTTTGTGGAAGTCACCCTCTTGTGGTATTTCTGTTAGCAGCTCTCCATAACACTATTCTCCTCTCACTGTATCACCTCAGAGGAACTTCCTGGGCTAGTCCATCCCCAGACAACGCCATCTACTAATGATCTTACCTGGACCCCTTGCTCCAGGAGCCCTTACCTGGACCCCTTACCTGGACCTCTTCCTCCAGGAGAGCAGGCCAGGGGCTATTTGAGAACATGTGCATGTTAAGCACTGTGGTAGTTACATAATCTGGTGTCAACTTGAGACTCTTAAGAGTGAAGGGGTGGAGTCTAGCCTGTCAATCAGGTTGCAGCTAGATGACCTCATTTGGAGGCACTATGGAGACAACTAGCTCGCTGGAGGCCGGACCCACACACTCTCTGCTTCGTATTCCTGATGACAAAGCACATGGAGCTACACTAGAGCCCTGGAACTGGAGGACCCACGTGGAGACCCACGCCAGCGCGGAGATGCTCCCACCACAAGACTTTCCACCCAGTGGCCTGTGATCTTGCTGCACTTGGTGTCATTGCATGTGTCGCGTGAGTCTGAAGAGGAATTTATAGATTTGTATCAGACATAGGGGCTAATATCAGACTTATGGCCTTGATCTGGACTGGGCTGGGATGTTTTCCTAATGTACAACTGCTCTTTGATATAAAGTTCTCTCTTATGCACATGAGTGTCTATGAATTTGTTTCTCTAGTCCACCCAGACTAACACAATCACCAAGGCTCTTAGAGCGTATTCAGGGTGCCTGTGCTCGATGCAGGCTTGAAAAGTCCCTGCTTACAGGCAGGGAAGTCAAGAGAGATGCGAGACGTGAAGCCCGCATGGCCAAGTCACCCAGTCAGAACACAACCGCCTTTCCTGCTCTTGACCTCAGGCCAGGTGCCCAGGCAAGGGGCATGCCTGAGGCGGGACACACTTTGGGTGGTCTCCATGGGAGAGACAGAGTGGACCGGTGCCCAGGGAGGAGCCCCAGATTTGATTGGGGTGGGTGGATGTCTCAGGAGATGAAAGCCAGTGGCAGACTGGAATCCCGGCATTTTTCCTTATTGGAAAAAGTGGAAAGCTAAAGGAAACAGATTCTTTTGTGAAACACCTTGCTGCGTTGGCATGAAAGAGAGAAAGAAACCAAAATTCAAGTAAAAGCAAAAATAATAATAATAATAAAGCCAAACAAACACCCAAACGGACTCTTTCCCTCGAGGCTTCTGGCAAACCTTGGAGAGCTTGCCCTTCCTCTTTGGCAAATGTCAGGGGGCAGGAGAGAAAGCCTCGCATGTCCCGAGGCAGT